AGAGGACTTTAAAACAGTTATTATGATAATTATGACAATATTCTATGGGTCCAAAGAATTAAGCAGAGGCATCGAACATATAAAAATGGTCAGAATCTAACTTTGGAGATTAAAAACTACAACACTTGAGATAATAAATTCACTGGAAGCAATTAACAGCAGATTAGACACTGCAGAAAAAAAGATTAAGAAACACAAAGCCTCCAGGTGCGGTGGCTCATGCCTGTAATCCCAGCACTTTGGGAGGCCGAGGTAGGTGGATCACAAGTTCAGGAGATCGAAACCAACCTGGCTAACACAGTGAAACCCCGTCTCTACAAAAAAATAGAAAAAATTAGCCAGGCCTCATGGCGGGCACCTGTAGTCCCAGCTACTCAGGAGGCTGAGACAGGAGAATGGCGTGGACCCGGGAGGTGGAGCTTGCAGTGAGCCAAGATCATGCCACTGCACTCCAGCCTGGGCGACAGAGTGAGACTCTGTCTCAAAAAAATAAAAAAAGAAAAAAAAAAAGAAACACAAATTCTCGAATGATTGAAATATCTAAAATACAACTCATAGTAACAATTTTTTGTTTTTTTAATGAACAGAGCATCAGTGAATGATAGTGCAAGTTTAAGACACCTAATAGACAAGTAATTGTAGTTCCCAAAAAGACTGGGGAAGAAGAAAAATGTATTTAAGAAACAATGACATTTTTCAATCATAGTGAAAATTGTTAACCTACTTATCCAAGGACGTGAATAAACCCCAAGCACAAGAAACCTGAAGAAAACCATATTTAGTAGGCACTTCATAAATGAATTGCTCAAATTTATTGAAAAAAATCTCAAAATCAGAAGAAAAAGTCGTAGTACTTACAAAAACCAGAAAGATTATATCATTGAAAGTCATTCAAGTGAGAAGGCAGTGGAGCAACATCTTAAAAGCACTGAGGGGAAAATGTCAATGTCAAATTCTACGAAAGCTGAAAATTCACTACCACCAGCCTACACCACAAAAAAAAAAAAAAAATTAAAAGAGTCCTCCAGGTAGAACGAAACTGACACCGGATAAAAATCTGGATGTACAAAAAAAAAAGAAAGAAAGAAAAGAAAAACCACTAGAAATGACATCTACATAGGCAAATATATAATTTTAACATCTGACTAGCCAGGCATGGTGGCTCATGCCTGTAATCCCAGCACTTTGGGAGGCCAAGGCAGGCGGATCACTTGAGGTCAGGAGTTTGAGACCAGCTTGGCCAATATGGTGAACCCCCCTCTCTACTAAAATTACAAAAATTAGTCGGGTGTGGTGGCTCATGCCTGTAATCTCTGCTACTCAGGAGTCTGAGTCAGGAGAATCGCTTGAACCCGGGAAGCAGAGGTTGCAGTGAGCCAAGATTGTGCCACTGCACTCCAGCCTGTCCAATAGAGTGAGACTAGTCTTAAAAACATCAAAAAAACCCCAAAAACACATCTGACTCTTTAAATAAAAGTAATAAAGATGGATTGTAAGGTTTATAACACGTGTAAAGTAAAATGCATGACAATAGCATAAAGGCAGAGAGGAGTAATGTGAAGAGGTACGACACCACTTGAAGGCAGACTGTGATGGGTTAATTTTTGTGGAAAGCAAGGCAGAATTTTTGAAGTTTCTTTCTTCGTATACTTTCAGGTTCCCATACATACAACCTAGTTTGTTCTGGAGCGATCTTATTTTCTAGGAGGCTCAGAGAGGGACCTTCTGCTTTGTGTCCTTATGGGATGCACAAGACACAAGGGAACAGTCTCTCACTTTTAAATACAGTCATAGGCCTGAGGAGAAATAACTGCAATTTTTTTTTTTTTTAAATGAGATGGAATTCTCCCTGGTCTTGAACTTCTGAGCTCAGGCGAGGCTTCCGCTATGTCGGCCTCTCAAACTGTTGGGATTAATCAGCGTGAGCCACCGCACCTGACCGCAACTACCAGCATTTAAAAGTTCGTCCCTGGGTGGGCTCGAACCACCAACTTTCCGGTTAACAGCCGAACGCGCTAACCGATTGCGCCACAGAGACAACCTCGATTGGTCGTTTTTATCTCAACATAGATTAAGCAATCACTAACCTCTAGGGGTTGCCATTCGCTTTCTGCAGGACAAGTGTGCAGACTACAAAGTTTCGGAAAACCGGAGAGGCTGAGTCGACTAATCGTGTTGTTGCACGTTAGAAACGCGTGCATTGCGTGACTCTGAAACCAGAAGAGCGGCCGAATGGCCTTCACCCTGCGTTGACCCTCGCCTGCTTCAGAAGCCAGTGCATCTGGAAATGCCTGGATCTGCGACCCCACCCTGAGCCTAGTAAGGCCCAAGGGAAGCTCAACGCCCCGACAGCTCTCCTGGTAGCTCTTTCTGTTTTTTTGCGCCGCCTTCAGGCAATCATCTGCTCCGCTTGCTCTCCTCTCACTCAACTCGGCTTCAGTAGATGGAGCCGGTGGGGCGGGAGCGGGAAAGAGGCAGGGGAGTCAAAAGGGAAAAGGTGAACAGAGGAGACCAGGACGAGACAAAGGGACAGCCCAGGATGCCCGTGCAGAGGGCACCGACTGGATGCAGAGAAGATGGGAGATGTATCAGAATGGAGAGGAGAATACGAGAGAGAAAATCACAAGAACCTGTAGCTGCCCAGTAATAAAGAAGTAAAAATCGCATAAATGTTTTTACATGAAAAAAAAAAAAAAAATTTCGGGGGACCGGGCGCCGTGGCTCACGCCTGTAATCCCAACACTTTGGGAGGAGGAGGTGGGTGGATCACTCACTTGAAGTAAGGAGTTCGAGACCAGCCAACATGGTGAAAGCCCGTCTCTACTAAAAATACAAAAATTAGCCGAGTGTGGTGGCGCAGGTTTGTAGTCCCAGCTACTCGGGAGGCTGAGGCAGGAGAATCGCTTGAACCTGAGAGGCGGAGCTAGCAGTGAGCCGAGATCGCGCCAGTGCTCTCCAGCCTGGGCGACAAAGCAAAATTCTGTCTCTCAAGAAAATGCATAAATAAATAAGAGGGGTGGGGAAGCAAAACGATGGGCAGTTGGGATTCTATAGTGGTTAGTACCCTGCCTTGTGCCTGCAGCAACCTCTGTTCTAATCCGAATCCTGGTACAGTCAGACTTTATCTTGGGCCCACTGGGGCGAACCCGTGTGTCTTTTGGTTTGCTTTTCATTCCTGCACCAGTTGCGGCCTTTATCTGCAGCCAGAAAGCCAGAAAGCAGGGTTTACCGCTGGCCCCACAGCGCCATACTGTCTGGGGAAAAGAAGGAAACCCAACAGCACACAAACAAAGGCCCAAAGAGAAACCGTCGAAGTGCTCTATGCCTCACCGTTTAGCAGAAAATATCAAGCAACTCTCAACCTAGCTGGTCTGTAGCTTCCACGAATGAAATAATGTATTTATTGGAGTCTTTCTGGTTGAGATATTTCAAATATTTGGTGGAGCTTTTAATGAGCGAGAGGGACTCTCTCGAGTATGGAAGAAAAAAATGAGGGAATGTGAGGATGAGGCGACTTTAGGACAGAAAAAAAAGAGAGATGAGGAAGCCACGTAAACGTTTTTGGGTAGGCGTGAGGCGATGTCAGTCTTGAACCCCGTTATGTTAGGTAAAGAGGGCAACCCTCTTCTAGCACAAACACCTTTCCCACATTGAGGAAATCACAGGGATCAGCAACTCTAGAGTGCGATGAAGAACCTTCACTCTGGGAGAACCCCCTTCGTCACCACGGTCTGTACTCTGCCAGGTGAGTGGGATCGAGCGCAGGCCCTGCAGGGACAGCACAGCCTCCTCGCCCTGGCCGGACGCTCAGGGTCACCATCCTCCCCACTGCCTCCCCTCGCCATTCTTCCAAACCACTCTCCGCCAAAGATTCCACCGACAGTCACCCCACACCACAACCCAGGCCGCCTTTCAGCAGCGGCTCCCGCCCCGCAGCCACCGCGCCATGTCACCCCCAAGGTTCTGCCTGCCGCCTCTGCCCAGTTTGTGCACTTCACCTCCCTGGCTCCCGCTCTCCCCTGAGCTTACAGTGGACGCGGGGTTCTTCCAAATCCCTCTTGGGAGTACTGAATGGAAAATGGGGAGCGTGCGCAAGTGCTTGGTAGAGAGTAGACACTGTGGGATTTGACTGTAGTACCATCGCTTCCACGTCCTAGTGCTGATTTTTACACCTGCATTCCGCTTAGGGCACCGGCAACAGTTTTCCATTTGTGCCTACTCCACCTGCTGTCTTTGTTGGCTCAGGGAACATCGCCTCCCTCTGCCGCTCAATCAGCAAACGGCACCGCCCTCCAGGACCTCACCTGCCGCTCACCCAACTCCCAGCTTCGCGGGCATCGCCTCCAGTCACCTCTTCCGACGGCCTAACGAGCACGTTAGCTGCGAAGGGAGGTGAGGAGGCTCAGCTGACTGGCCCGTGCCCATGTCCAGGGTATGCACAAACAACACGACTTGGTTTGGCCTCTCTCTTAGTTATTCACAGCTCAGCCCCATAGGTGCCTCCGGGGCGGCGACGGCAAAGAGGATGGCCTTATTGGGTACAACTGCACGGGGGCTGGCACCTCTGCACGGCTGTGTACACCTGAGCGAGAGGCTCAGGCGCTCTCTAAAACCTCTTCAGCGGATGACAGACACGGAGATAAACGTGAGAGCTGGTCCACCAGGACTCGCCCTCCTTCGCTGGGGTTTGCCCCTCGCTGCGGAGACTGTTCTGCATCTGGCCCTTGGAGCAGGATGGCTGACAGCGTAGTAAAGAAAGATTCCTGTGGGAGTGCGCCCAATGCAAAATGATTCCCTGACCGGGAATCGAACCCGGGCCGCGGCGGTGAAAGCGCCGAATCCTAGCCACTAGACCATCAGGGAGACACCAGAGGCTGCTTTCTCTTTCTTCTTCCGTCTGAGGCGACAGTTCCCCTGTGCTCTGGGAGGACGTGGGCCTTGTAAGGGTCGCTCTTTGCTCCTGGAGTCGTCTCACAAGGCCTTTCCCTCCCTACTTTCTTCAAAACAAAGAGCCTGCAGGCGACACACCGAGGGCTCCGCGAGGGACACCAAGGCCACGGGTCGCGAGTCCTGGAGCGAGTTGCAGCGACCCGGCCGCAGCTCACCACTGGCCTAGAGATGTGCCTTTGCGAGGCGGCAGCGAATGACGAGACGGTCGCGGGTCGCCAGGTCTGGAGTCGCGCACCAGGTTGCCAGGAGGAGGCGGGAGCCGAGAGGGGCCCGGGGTGAGACGGGGATACCCTCTGCATCATAAAGGACCCAGACCCCGGCACCCTCAACATCATAAGGAATCAGACGGATGCGGAAACCGAGATGGGCTGCATGGGAAACTCTTTCCGGGAAGGCTCAGGGGCCCTCACCTGGTCTCGCACCTTCCCCTGCAACCTGTGACACCTGCCATTTTCCCATTTTAGGCGATGGCAACGCCACCCTTCCGTTTGCTCCGGGCAAAACTTCCAGAGTTCCCTCTGACGCTGGAGTTTTTTCCTCAGATCCAAAATCCAATTGGTCACCAACTCGTGATTTACCATCGGGCAAGTGCGTGGGCATTGATCTACAACCGAGTTTCTTCACCTCCGCAGAATTGCTACATCGGGGTGGGG